TTGATATTGCAAGAGAGACAGTGCTGAAAGTATTTAAGATGAGTAACATGTGTTAAGCAGTTTGTAAAAGAGAGAGAGAGAGAGAGAGAGAGAGAGAGAGAGAGAGAGAGAGAGAGAGAGAGAGAGAGAGAGAGAGAGAGAGAGAGAGAGAGAGAAATATATAGATAGAAGTTAGTAGAGAAAACTCGTGATTGCGGTGGTGATTTTTAATCGTTTGGTGTGTGAAAACGATGTGGAGTGTACTCTTCATTAAGTAATAACGAAAGAAAAGACACGTTAGTGAGGATCTCTTGTGTATATTATGTGTTAACTAACCTCGTCCTTGTCCAAGCCGAGCTACGGAAACGTTAAACTGAGGTTAAAATTTATTCTTTTCACATTATGAGGATGATTTATAATTTCATTTTCCAGATTGAGCGTTTGCTTAAAATAGGAACAAGAAATTCGTATGCATTCTGGACTCGTTTCACTTCGAACAGATTGCCGAGATGGATGACTTCATTAATTACATTGTTACGGAAACGGGTTGACTGGGGATGCAAATGATATTCTTGTCTCTCTTACAGAAGCGCGATAAATTAAATTAATTACAGGAAGAGCTATTTCTGTTCATCGTTTATTCCCTACATAGACTATCTTCATTAGCCACCGGTATCGTTCACGCAAATCGAGGAAGGAGAAAGAGAAAGAGAGAGAAAGAGAGAGATAAATAAAGATCTCGTTAGAGAAATCTCATAACGAACTCATGAGAGAAAATTCAAAAGAATCACTTCAACGAAACGAATAAGAAAAGTAACACGATAAAAAAAAAAACAGAAAAGAATCTTGACGAAAACCTGACATATATAGTATAGTCTAATATTTTGACAATCAGAGCAGAAATTTTCACAGCGACAAACTATATATTTACTTACATATTTATGAAGAGTGTATGCATACGTGTGCGTACAGGTACGAGACAGTTCGAGATAAATGGATTGGTTCACCTATACGTCAAGTTACGCATATTGCTTCGCGTAATACATAACTTCGCGATTGACATAATTGACATTAAACATCGTATAGCTACTTGTTGGTGCGTTCAGCTATAATTCTGTCTGTTAACAGCGGCGTAAACGCGAATCTGGATGTCGAAATGGAAAATCGGCCTTCATTGTGTGATGGATTCTCGACGCACGTGTAGCACACGTTAAACGTTGTGTAAAATCGTCCCGGACAGCGAGAAGCCATTAGGACGCCTCTCGCTCGCCCGTACGTATACAATGTGTGCACATTAACACGACGACTCGACTAACTCTCGACAAAGGAAAACGAAATCATTCAACACCGAGAGAAATGGTCGAAAATAGGGAGAAACGAACTAAGCACCAGTCCGGTAAAGTCACATCTATGGGCACGTAACTTGGGCTCGGCATGTCATCCTAATCATATTTACCAGCTAACACCGACATTCTAGAAAACTCTGGCGATCTGGCGTTCGCAAGTCCGTTTCTTTTCAAATTATCTCTGTTCCTTCAGTTTATGTTTAAAAAGTACACTGATTCACGCGACTCGTTCTTTACAGTTTACTGAATTCGTGAATGGATCGTTTTAGTAGGCATAAAGTGTGGTCCCTTGAACACCAGATCCGACTTTGAAGAAAGATAATCTAAGGTAATGCAAAGCGTGCGACGGAACTTACCTCGTCCGAGCCGGTGTCCGAGCCGACGAGTAGGAGGTCGAAGGGAATGGCAGCTACCAGGTCGATGATGAACCAACCCTTCAGGTAATGGACGGCTATCTTTCCGGGATGGGAGACCACCTCATCGTTGCTGTTGACGAACGTCGTGCGAAAATTTATAATGATGTCCACGATGAATGTGACGTCGACTGAAAGATAAAGATATATTGCTGCATTCTCAAGAAATCGATCATTTTCTACCATTTGAAAATAAACCGTTGTAGTATAATGCATCTCGTTACGTCCAAGTCAACTGCGTTTATTTTATTTGTGTCCGGACAATGGCGAGTCATACGACTGCGTTCTTCCAAGTGTTTCCAGCGAAATCGATCGAAGAAAAATAATGCGAGATAGCATCTCCAGAACTGTTCATTTGGACGTTTCTCCGATTTCTTTTCCGTTCGCGTTCTATTCGCGTACTATTGTCTCTTTACCCGTTCTATTGTTTCAGACACATTGTCACTGCGACACGTGTTATCCTACATTGTATGAAACGTTATACAATGCTGCTCGGGCGTCGATATCAATTTTAAAACTTAATACTGTAACAGCCGGTCTTCTCTCTCATTGTCCGATAGCTATGTAACATCATACTTTTACTTCGAACTGATTTCTATTATAGAATTTCATTCTAGTCTCGAATGCTTAGGTATAAATATTACTCTTATTACTACCTGTCCTGCTAAACATCCTAATTATTTTTGCACGAATTATAAATCGCACAATTTTGCGCTAAAAATAAATTTCAGCGATAAACTTCGGCTCACCTATGAAGTCTATAATAACGATGGGATCGTCACTGTACTTCTTGTTCTTTCTGTTGTTGTAATCCGGATCCGATAGAACAAATGCGGCGACGTACGGCGTGAATATGGCGGTGTACATCACGAGCAGCAATATAATCCAATCCCAGACCGCCTTGAACGGCGAGTAGTGTAGTATGGTCCACTTGTGTATTCTGGGGGACTGTAATTTGTACTCTGGGAGGACGTCTGCTCCGAGGGACAACACCTGCGACAGACAATATTGAAATTTGAGACAGGTCCGCTCCATTTCTATTCTTCGCTCCAAACCGCCGTCTAGAATAAAGTATCTCGTGTCCGGCGAAAAGTTTTATCCTGTTGTATAAATTTTAAGTGCGAGTAGAGCATTTTACGTGTATAAGACAATACGTCACGTTTCAGAGAGATAACGGGAAAGTTTCCGTCAGCACGTTATTTGTACCTCGCGGCAACGTTCCGGCAGAACCGTCGAAACGTCGTTACGCGATGCAGCGACACCAGCTTAACGTCGTTCGCGTTAAATTGCATTGCGAATAAGATACACTTATAGGGCGCCGCGTGAGGAGCATGATGCGCGCGAACGGTGTTTCACATCGCTTACAAGATACACGGCGAAACAGCACCGAAGGGACTACGAGCAAGACTACTATATTTGCTGATCCGTCTGGCGCAGAAGGGTTTCGAATTACTTATCGGACTCCCTTGCCCGGTTTTCATTTTCTGGTTAAGTGTTGACCAGAGGTTAATCGATTACCAGTCTCTTCTTAGATAATAATGTAGAAAAAGATGGAGAGTCGACTAATCTCTGGTTAACAGTTAAGTAGAAAATAAAAAACCACACTGAAAAAAATTTCTGGTTGAATATGGACGAATCAGATAATTCCTTTAGGATTTACCAGAATTACTTTAGGATTTACCAGAATTCTTGTAATCCTACAGAAATTCTGGTAAATCCTAAAGGAATTCTGGTAAATCCTAAAGGAATTATCTGATTCGTCCAAATTCAACCAGAAATTTTTTTCAGTGCAGGCTTCTGCCATTTAAGACGCGCGCAGTTCACCGAGAATCGATCGGCGAAGACGTAAATTGACGACAGAAATCGCGAGATCTCCCCCGTGAGGGAATAGTTTAGGCCAAATCCTCCCGTACATCCATTTCGTCAATCCGATCCGGCTGGTGGATGAAAGTAGATCCTTCGCATCGCGCCGCTCCACATCTCCGAGAGCATCGCCTCCAAACGGTTGATGAACTCTTCTCCGCCGAGTCTGTTATCCACTATTGTTTCTCGGGCAATTCGCCCATACTCGAACAAGGGATTACCCGTCACAAACGCTTGGCGAACGCGCTTAAAACACCTGGGTTCGTGCTCGAGTGAGGACTCAACCACTTAGTCTTCTTTGTAATCCGCGATTCCTTCGAAAATCCGCGCTCGATTCCATCGTAATAAATTCCGAACGACGGCGATCGTCGTAGAGACGTCACCTAGATACTAGGTCGTACAAAACGGCCGCGATTCGCGCGGAATTCACCAAACACGCGATACCAAGGAACACCGGAAGCATATATCAGTATTCCTCCGGGAGCAGCCACTATCGATCACCGGATGGAATAAGCTTCGAGCGTGAAGCTTTTCGCGGATTCGGCGTCGCGATCAGAAATAGAATGGATCGGTAGCTCTGGAGCTTTTTTGCCGAAACCGGGGCAATATTTCGAGCTATCGATCCCACACGGCGCTCGGAATCGGGGACGCTTGTTTACGGCGCGCTTGAACGTGGGAAGAACCGGAAGAGTGCCGTCCGAGCGCCAGTTTAACACTGATGCAATGCGGCCCGACGAAGGGAGGCGTTCGTTCGATTGGCTCGGGGTTGGCTGGCTAGCTATCCGCTCACGAGAAGCGGTTATGCGGGTTAGGGTAGCACCGCCGTCACACCCTTAGCCAGCATATTTCGGCCCGACAAGTGTCGGTGGCACAACATTGTGCCGCCCAGAGTCTTCGGCCGCCTAGCAGAAATTAGCCCGGAGTTCGATAACGATGACCCGCACTCAGGAGGCTCATGACATGAACTGGCGATCCTATCCCGAGGAAAGTCGCAGTTCGCTCCCCCTTTCCTCGTCCCCCGTGTCGTCGATTTATTATTATCAACCCCCCGCCGATAAGCGACCGATAAGCGCATAAAAATGGAAAATGGGGATATTGCTGATGCGGATGCTAACATCATTATTCACCATCGCGTCGCTGGTTCCGAGTATTCACTATCACTGCGCTCTGCACTTCCATGCATTTCAATTGCGTCCATCTTAATTTTATTCCTAAATTTATTGTTTTACAATTTCCATACTTTTAAACGTAAAATATTATTGTCGTATCTTTTTTGGAAAATTGCAATTCTCTGGATTAAGAGATGCGACATTTTTGTTGATCGATATGCGATTATCATCTCGAATTTAAATCTGGAGCGGCGCGATTGTATCGCACTCACATTCTGATCTCATCCGATTTATCGAATATGCAATAACAAGTAAATCCGCCCCGCAAAAATGTTTCTAAAGCGAAGAGATTCAGGATATAGTTTGCTAGTTTCTTCCTTAGTTTCTTTATCGACTTTTTATTATCAGCTTCCATCTGGTGGAAAACATGTAGTCAGGCGGGTCAGGAGGGTGAAGTAGAAACTCGCTGTGGTTGGCTCGTCAGAGACAGCCGCGAGGATGTAAATTCAGGTAGGTCATGTTTTATTCATGCTAGGTGAGAAGGATCGCGAGGGCGACCTCATTCCAATGACCCGAAGTTATTGCAATAGTTTGTGCCGTCCTTTATAAACTGCAAGACCTTTTACTGCCTTAAGGTACGAACAAGTTCCATCCGGATTAATAAATGCATCAATTTTTTACCTCAAAACTTCCTACCATCTTATAAATTATCTTCTCTACACGTTGGAACACGTTCGAAATACAAAGTTGAATGAAATAATTTATCAAATGGCGAGAATTAAGAGTGAAAAAAGGAGTCCAGTGTAATAACTGCAACTGGATCACTTGCAGGTGTTGGCGTGGAATTTCTCCTCGATTTAATCCCGATCTAAGACGCTTCATCTGACGATGTAATGGCGATGAAGTAATTGAGTATACGAAAGAGGATGCGGTGGATAATATTGGCTAGTTACTACGCGCCATGACCTGGAATTATCGAATAACTGCTGCATTACGTGCATCATAATGTACCAGCGTTCAACGAACCAGGAAAAATAGCGCTGAAATAAGTCGCGCGAAAAATGTTACGAGCGCAACGGCACGAGATTCATATTCCGTCGGAAATTCTGTCAGAAAATCTGTCAGAAATTCTGTCGTCCGAAATTCTGTCCCGTTGCAACGAAAGGGATTCGTGCGAACGAAATAAACTTCAATATAGAAACTAATAGAAGTTCAAAATTTTCTACGATCTCCAGATAAGCGTCGGCGACGAAAAATATGGGTGCGCAAAGTTTGAAGTACCTTTATCGAAAGCCATAGAATAGCCATTTACGATAGGTAATTCGCGATTTAATATTTACAGACTCACAGTGGAGCCATTCCCCGCGTAAATATGTGCCCGACGTGCACAAGTAAAATATGTATCTTCAGCTTCAGTAGCGATAAGAACGCTTTTACAGCAGCTTCTGGAATCATCGTGCACAAAGCTCGGGAATACTCTTTGAGTCACGTAAATATAGCGTCGTGGCAGTAAAACAGAAAATTTAGGCGTCGCATTTAAAATCCCCTTTAGCGACGAGAATAAAGCGACAGTTACTCATCGTGCTAATTTTGTTCGAAGCGTCTCACGAATATGGTGGCGTTTCATAAGTGTTATAAGTCACCTAAAATTAGGCGAGATTTGTCCCGAGCTAATTCGATCGAGCGCCGAGACAATGACGTTTGCCACATGGGCATTCCATTCAGGAGCAATTGGACGTATATTTTCGCAACGTGAGCGACGCATTTCGAAGTGCCACCTTGAAAATGAGGTCGCGTCGATGACAGCGCGGAGTTATAATCCGTTTTAACGGGAAGAAAGCTCCTGTCAAAGCTTCCACGTTAGCGCTTCTCAGAAATACGGCCTCGTAATGCATAACGGGTCAGCCCGATGAATGCGTCTGTCGGATTTCAATCAGGACTACGCAATATTACGATCGATACCGCGCGGAATGTACGCGCCATTCCACCGCAAATTGGACGAATACGTTCGCCATTTGATGGCCCTGATAAACGCGAATAAACAATGTGGCTAGATTAAGATGATATGTGAGAGAGTGAGAAAGCAGTGCACATATCGCCAAAGTAAACTCGCGAAACACGAAGTGCGTAGTTTAAACAATTGTCCGATTGTCTCTACTGATAAAGTAGGTCTCGATATATTTTCACACATTTTCAAATGCTCGGCTAGTTGGGAAACCCGTAACTTATAAATTCACTGATGGAATGTAATTCACACTCTCACATTTTGCAGAGATTAAATAATTTCAAGTTACTCATGTTTAATCCAGCGATATAAACGAATAATTTATAAAATATCTGATAGCACTTTAAACCTTTCGTTCTATTTTTATATAAAACTAATAACGACAATAATAAAAGAGTCGAGCATATCGTGGGACAACGCGGCATTTTGGAGAATTTTGCGACGGTGCTAGTAAAATGTATGGTAAAACTTCAGAGAACTCTAAAAAATTTTTTCGAAACACCGTGTCGTTCCACGATTACATGATTTTACACAAACTTTGAAGAGGATTTTCGTTGTAATATTTTATACGATAATGATTAAGTACACGGTTATATCAGATTTCGGTGGAACAACAATAAATGTTGATTGGATGAATAGAAATGCTCAAGATTGAACTACGTTAGTGGCATCTTACAAAATTTGACAATAAATTCGTACGAAAGATAACTTTTTCGAAATTCTATTAAAATAGTATTGTAATACAAACATCGATTACCGTCGACAGGGTCGAACCGAACTTCTTCTTCTTTCCCTTCATGAAATACGAGCGCATCATGGTTCCTGACACTCTCACGAAGAATTCCAGTGTCATTCTCAACCGCGGCGAACCTCGTTCGGACGCTGCCACTGCTCACGATGCCTTGGCGCTTTTGGCATGCGCGCGAAAATGAAAATAAACAACGTCGGGGAAACCACCTGTTCCACTGTTGCGTTTTTCCAAACTTTCGCGCTAAGTGATTTCCAGCGTCTCTTCG